CACACATAAACACAGACATACTCAAACACAATCACAGACCCGCACACATACAATCACAGACACACAATCACACACAAACATCACATACATACCAGTGGCGGATCCAGGGGGAAGCAACGGGGCAAGAGCCGATGCTCTCTCCTGCATGGCCGGTGCTATCCAAGCGTCAGCCCTGCTAAGTGCCTTCACGGACCGGAGGGGAGATCAGGAGCTGCAGGCTAGAGTTCACTCCCCACTAGAAATGCCAGGGATTCCACCGGCCCACCAGGTATTGGAAGTAATATCCCCCCTCCATGGGCAAAGGTAAGAAGGGAGGGGGGATATGAAGAATATTTAAAAAAAAAAAAACACATTTGTTTTAATCTGCCCCCAACATACACACACTGCCCCCCATATACACACTGCCCCACCACACACACACTGCCCCCACATATACACACTGCACCCCATACATAATCTATCACACACTGCCCACACTGCACCCCTATACACACACTGCTCCTACTGTACCCCCATACACACACACTTCTCCCCCATACACACTGCACCCTCACACACACTTCTTTCCCCCATACACACAGCGCTCCCCCACACAAACACTGCACCCCCATACACACATTGCTCCCACTGCACCCCAAATATACACACAGCACTCCCATGCACACACTACACCCCTCACAAACACACACTGCCCCTCATACACACTGCACCCCCATACACACACTGTCCCACATACACACACTGCACCCCTCGCACATGCACTGCCTCCCGTACACACACACTGCCTCCAATTTACACACACACACACATTACTAGAGGCCCTATCCCCTACTACAGCCCCTTTCCTGGCACTGGCAGAACCCAGGTAAATTGTCAAACCGTTTGACAATTTAAATAGAAAAGGGTAAGTGGGTGGAGCAAGTGATGCGGAAAAAAAATGCAGACAAGCCACTGTCTAGATGTCACTCCCAACCTCAATAAAACTCAAAACCACAACTGAATACGATATCAGATAACAGGGTGCCACAATCACTTTAGTTGCCAATTGATTTTCAGTTTGACTATTTACTTTGGGAGGACACCACGGCACTCCTGGCACCATAACCACTACAGAGAGCTGTAGTGGTTATTGTGCCTGTATTGTTTCTTTAACTAATCTATGAGTACCCGTCCCAAGATAAGGCTCTGAATCCTCCAGTGATAGATAAACACATTTAATAATTAAAAGGTCCATCCAGCCTCCCTACCTTGCTCTGGGAGGGCTGGAGTGGATCCTCAGTCCCTAGTGGTCAGTGGTTGCTGTTGGGATCTCTGTGCTCTTCCTGCAATGATGCCGATGCTGGGATGAAGTTATATGCTGGCTCACTGCAGCACAAAGACTTTCAGATACAGTCAGATGCACACAGTTATACACATATACTGTCAAATACAGGTACATGCACACAGTCCCACACACATAGTCACTTGCACACAGTCAAGCACACAGTTTCAGGGAGACAGTCACACACAAACAGTTGGAGGCAGACAGTCACACAGTTACAGGCAGCATCACACAGTCACACACACTCAGTGACATGTAGACAGTCACACACAGTCACAGGCAGACAGTCATACACAGTCACATGTAGACAGTCATACACACAGTCACAGGCAGTCACATACAGGCATAGGCAGTCACACACACAGTCACAGGTAGACAGTCACAGATGCAGTCATAAGCAGACAGTCACACATACAGGTAGTCACAGGTAGACAGTCACACACACAGTCACAAGCAGACAGTCACAGACGCAGTCACATGCAGACAGTCACACACACAGTCATAGGTAGGCAGTCACAGGCAGACAGACACGATCCCAGTTACACACACACAAACAGCCACTCTCACTTACTGACAGTATGGGCTGGAGGAGGAGTGGAGTCGCTGAAGTCCCTGGTGTGTTGTAGTTGGGAAAGCAGGGTCTTCTTCCTGCTTCCCCTCGGTGTGCTTCAGTAAGTTCTGCCTTTAGCTCCCTGCATTTGATTTGGCTCCGTCCTCAACTCTCCGTGCAGTACTCCTGCTGTATACCTGGCCCATTTGTGTGTGAACTGTGTTGGCTGCCCGGAGCCCCTTCTGCCATGGCGCCCTGTGCAGCCAAACAACTCACAAAACCCCAAGCCTAGCCAGCCCTGGTGGTACCCCCCAACCTTGTGGCATCCGTGGCGGCCTTCCCCCCCTACACCCCTTTAGTACGCCACTGCTCTCCCTCCATAAGGAAAGACCTCTCCTCCGAATCCTTCCTCCAGTAATGACAGACCTTCCCTCTCAAAAGGCATCAATAGCCCAGAGCACCGGCCTTGCAAAGACTTCTCATTAAGCTGCATTGGGAAGTCTGGGATTGGACAGCCACAGAAAATCAAGGGATTGCAAAGACTACAGACAAGCTGTTTTAAAATATACCCCAATTGAAATATGTATCATTAAATGCATACATGTTTTTTATTGGGGATATATCTACTAAACGGTGGTATGTTTATTTATTTTCAGTATTGGAGTCTCCCTTTAAAAAGGAGTAGGTGAATTTGAGTCTGGAATATCACTTTAAGATCTGCCCAGGCAGAAATTAAACCCACTTTTATGTACTCCAAAATTAACAATGGTGATAAAACCATTAGAAAATGCTGCATACAGTGAATCCAAACTTTCACAGTATGGCATGATTGAGGTACAAATGCTGAATATAAAAAAACACCAATTTGACCTCATATAGTGCTAATTGAATGGTTGAGTTTATTTTAGGTTTAATATCTAAATGTACATTGTGTAAGTCCTTGTATTAACACCGTGCCAACCTAAGGTATTATCTTCCAATACTCTGGGAAGCACACTTAGATTGTAAACTCTCTTAGCAACAAATGTTGACAGAATTAACCCTGTTTAACCAATTTCAGGTTTTGAATTATGTAACAACTGTAATTGTATAAAACAGCCGAGAAAATTATTAATTTGTGAGTGGGGGTTTGTGACATTTCTGACAACAGTCAGCAGCAGAAAACAGTAGCTAAGCATCTCACTAATGAAAAGGTTACATCTCTTGCTAGCAATGCAGCAACAGAAGACATGTTAGCATCATCAAAGCAGATGTATAGATGTTTTTAATTAGTTAGAATCCCATGAATAAGGCACTACTCTACTGACCTCTAGTGTTTATTGGATAAAAT